AAACACTTATAATTTTAATTAAATTTTCGCTTTAACCGTCTGGCTGTGAAACTATTAGTTTTCCTGTTGATCTATGCATCCTTTATGGTGTCCAGTTGGGCAAGTGTTTCTGTTCGTTTATCAAATCCATCCATCTGAGAGAGTATCCATCAATTTTTATGTTTTGGCAAACACTCACACATCGTTTTGGGCTTTTCGGTTTTCGGGTATCCATGGCCGGATCCGTTTCTGTGTTTCCTTCGCCCGAGTAGACATTTATAGCCCGAATAGCTTCGCCCATCCTGCCCAGTTACCTCGGCTATTTAGTGTGTGTCTATGGCATCCTCCTTTTTTTTGCACCTGTGCTTTTTTTTTGGTAATTTCTGGCGACCGCTTACCGTTTTTATTTTGCCGTCGCTGCCAGTTTAGACCCAGAGGGCCAAGGATGGTAGAAATGGTAAAACGGAATCCTATCTGGACTCTGATTTTCCGCACTGTTATTGCCGTAATATGAAACAATTTTTTGTGCCGCGGCGCTCCTTCGACTATTCCAACTTTCAACCGGTGGGTTTCGTGTGTTTTACGGTTTATTCTCCTGCGTTCTACGTGCATTTTGGCCGCATATTTTCCGGTCGTGTTACTGCTGCCCGGCGTTCTCTTGGTTCATTTCACATGCACCCAGGACCATTGCCATTGTTTTTCGTGCAGGGAAATTAAAAAAAGAAACAGTCGGAAAATCAGAATCAGAAAAAATAAAAACAGAACCCAACAGAACTGTTGGCAACACGCAAAACGAACTGGAAAAATGTTTTGTGGGCAGCAGGACGCAAATTAAAGGAATTCGAATTCGGTACAGGGCTTGTACTTGTTTACTTTGCATTCGCCGGCCCAGATAACGGTATAGTTATGGGCATTATAGGGGATATGCACGGGGGATTTATAGCATGGCAATGCCGTTGATTGAAAGCCGGATTTTCGCATATTTTCTGAGTCCCGGTATCGAGTAGAAGCGTAAAATTGCACAGGTCTTTGTGAAATTAAAACTGAACATTTTATAAAATAAACACTGCACGTTGAAAGGTTGTGCCAATGTTTTTAAAATGTTTGGTATTTGAGAGGTGAAAAAAAATATAAACAGAAGGTTTATTAGAAATATTTTCCATTTAAAATCATTCCCAATATTTCACAAAGTATTCGGTTAATCTGAATTTCTGCACTTTCTTTACTTCTCTTACCCCTAAAAACAAAAATTTCATTAAACATCCAGACTTGTTGTCCACGCCCCTCATTACTAGACTCTCCCAGACCCACTTAAAGCATTTGATAATTTAATCATCCCGGAATTTCTATTATTTGATTCTGCTTATTGTCGGTTAAATCACAGACAGATTGTGTTCTCGGGGCCAAAAAGCAATTTCATCAGTGGCCGACGACCAAACCCCACTAACCAAACTCCAAACTGGCGAACCGAACTCAACACACCCAACCACACAAAGTGCCGCATCCACAGTCCCCAAGCCCACCTAAGCCGACTGGATGCCACCCACCTCCTGGCTGAGTGCTTAGTGGGGATGCCACATTAGGCAAATATGTAAATAACTTTTAAGGAATTAAGCCCACTCACACAAAAACCCGAGCGAGACAGAAGAAGGCGAGGAGCCAGTACTTTCTTGGTTCTTGCTTATCAGCTGATAAACAAGGCCTACAATAGCATCACTTATACGCCATGTTGCACCGGTCGGTTCGACAACAAAATGGAGCATGCAACAGGGGGAATGAACTGGTGTCCGGAAGGGATTGAAGTGCGTTGAGGCACTGCGAGAAAAGTGATGTTATACTGAAGACTTTAATGTAGGTAAGACTTGTAGGTAAGTGTTACCGACGCCTATTACAAGTAATTATTTTCTCTCAGTGATTTAGGTACAACACATTAATTACACACACGTTCGCCAGAGGTCCAGAACCGCAACAGAGCCGAAGAGCCGGTAGAGAACTGCCAGACCAGAAGGCAAACCACAAACGCGTCATTATCAAACGGGGAAAACAAGAACCCAGAAGGGTTGGGGCGAAAATTGAAGAGGGATAAGGAATATGGGAATATACAGGAGCACGGAGATACTAGAGGCGTAAAAGGAGATCCAGGATAGCGGATAGGGGACCGATGCGGCGAGGAGGACCCCGGGCGGGAATTGGGAATCATTTCACGTGAACTCCTGCTGCATTTTATCTGCTCCAGTTGCAACGGACCCGGCCCAGTGGGAGCAACGGGTGCAAAAGGGACAGCCTAAAATGGGGCGTGAACGAGATGGGGCATAGACCGATGATGGCTTCAAAGAGAGAGACGGGCACAGCCCCTGAGCATATTTACAGTTGCTCGGCATTTAATGCAAGTGGGAATTACAAAAGAAGGGCGTGGCGTACCATGTTGTTGACGTTGTTGTCCTTATTGTTGTTGGGGACTGCCTGCCAGGCGATTTTAAATATTCGAACCAATCTAGCGAGAGCGAAAGGGACAGGGATAAAGAGGGATAAAGCTAAAAGCTGTAACGCCTGAATGGGCGCAAAGGAATAAAACCATAAACGGCAACACTATAATATGCACTTTTGAAGTTTTTTTTTAACCATATTACATACATAGGTTATTAAATGTCTATTCTATTTAAGAATTAAAGACATAGTCCTATTAAATATTCAATTAATTTATTGTCTGAATTCCCAAAGCAATATTAGACTGTCACTTATCCCATTTCCAGTCATTTCTTTCTCTGTAAGCCCAACTTTTCCGCCCGCATTTTCCCGTAAGAGCGGTAAACAATAATAACAGCCAGCAACAATGAGGCATGATGGCCCTGGGAGGATTACAGGACACATCCAGCTGCAGGGGAGCCAGTAGCTGAGGGGGAGTTTTCGGGTCCGTAGCAGAGCAGAAGCTCTGTATCTGAAGCATCGGACGAGCAGGCGACTAAGTGTTTTGCAACGGAAACGCCGAGCTATCATGCAAAAAGCCACTGTCAGATTAACGAACCATGGCCAAAACAGATAGCATCTATAGCAGGGAGAGAGGAGTTGGGTAAGGGGCAGAGGGAGCTGGTAAAAAAAATAGCTGGTAGCCCGAAGGTAAATGGCATCGGGAGATCCGCAATGTGGCACGTGACGCAGCGACAGTCCATGACCAAGTGCTGATTTTTTATCAGCCAGAAAAGTCAGTGGAAGTGGCGGGCTGGCACGACGTGGAAAGGCAGACGGCAGCTGGCGGCAGGCGGCAGGGTGACGGATGTAGTGAACGAAAACTGACAAAAAGGTTATTGACATTGTTGTTCCACTACCTCCCTCGAGCTCTCGCACTTTTTTCCCAACCCAACACACTCTATTCCTGCTGTCTGATTCATTCTCTTCAAAAATTCACAGACTGACTGGCAAACAAACGGCGAAAAATAAGCTTAGATTAATGGTGGCGAGAAATACCCTACCAAGCGAGAGGAGTATTATTGAAAAAGTAAAAATTAAACAAGAACTATTAAGCCTTGTTGAGTGTTTTCTGCACTCGTCATGACAGAACCTCTCTAGACCATCATTTCATCCTCCGAGCGCATCGGAAGCCGGCTTAAAAAAAAGTATTGCATACTCGCAGGCGCCTCCTTGAAACAAAATAAGGACATAAGCAGCAGGACGAAAACAAAGCAAAGTCAAGCGGAACGCAACAGAAACTGCGCAACTTTTGAAGAGGTGGAAATGCTTTTTAAGTATTAATTTGCGCAAACACTCGACACAACGGAGACGGTTAAAAGCAGAAGAAAAGCCAGCCCGCCCGCCCCGCGGAGGCAACAAAAAGGCAAAAACAAGTTAATAAAGCAGTTGCAGCAGCGCCACCTTCCCAATTTCCTCCAACCCGCCAGTGCACTTTAAACAAAAAAGCACTTCAAGTGCTAGGGGTTATGGCTTTTGCCCGAAAAGAACAAAAGAGTCTTATGGTTTTAACAATTTTTGATGAAAACGCTCGTAAAACATACAATTTGTTATAATTTCACAAGTACCGGGTATTGTGTTACTTTCTTTTTACTTTATTTTCCCTGAGTGTAGCTTTCCACCTGCCCAATGTCCACTAATTGCTTGCAACATGGGCTATCGCTTTGCGCAAACACCTAGGACACCCGCAGGACACCTTCTTTAAAAGGTTTCCCCGACGCCGGACGCCCACTGCCCCACCCCCTCGATATAGCTTTCTCTACATTTCTCGACTTTCTCCCTCTCAGCTTTCACCCAATCGCTCCAAGTGCATTTCTGCTGTTTTGCGTTAATTGAAAACTTTTTTGTGAGCAGATATTCGTATTTTCGCAGCATGGCAGAAACAAACTGAATTGGAAAAGTTTTCTAGTATTTCACCCCTCCACCCTCCACAAAAATAGAAGGGACTACTCGTAAAGTTGTCGTAAGTATAGAAGTGCAACTCTGAGTTTTTAACGCTTTTCCGCCTTTCATTTGTTTAGACTTTAACCCCACCCAGCTCCACCCACCGGGAGCTTATAGTTCCAGTGGTCTACCTACCCCACCGAAAAAAAAAAAAAGGCAGAAACTACCCCCACACCTCTCCAGACTTAAGTGTGTTTGTGTTTCCTCTCAAAACTTGGCGGCCAATTAGTTGGCTGCACCGAAATCTGGAGGTTCGGGGCGAGGAGCTATAGCCTGCGACTTTAACCGACTGTGGCAGCTGTTATATTGGGGCTTGGACTGGCCAAATCGGATATCCACTTTAAGCTGTTTGGGTTGCCGCGCTTTCACGTCGGGGCTTCGGAAATTGTCAAAGAATGAGCGGAATAAAGTTGGCGGCTTAGCCCCAAGTGGCTAAGTGAATTTTCTGAAAGAAACTAGGTCTTATACTATATACTAAATACTATATAGTTTTTCAAAAGTTTATTTTAAAGACTACTAGAATAATGGCTTATCCTTTTCTTATTTTAGTTTAAACCCTAACCATATAGTACCTCATTATAATCCCACTTAATATATGATTGTTTACTCACGATTTCCCTCTGCAACTTGGCTATATTGAAGTTGGCCTGGGCCAGACGGACACTCAAAGTGGCCACATCGCTGGTCAGCTGGGCCCGCTCCCCGGCGTTCCGGTCCACCAGCTTGAGCATTTTGTCCTCCAGACTCTGGTTGACCTTCTGGACACGCTTGTGGGACTCGTAGAGGCGGTCGTACTTGTCCTGCCACGCTATCACGCTGTCCTCGAGCTCCACCTGGCGCTCTGTTTCCCGCAGACAGGCGGTTTCCAGGGCGTATAGCTGCGTTTGCTTTTCGATTAGTGCCTGTTGCAGTTGTTCAATTTCCGACGCCGCGGGAGCGGAAGTGGCTGCCGCTGTCGCTACCGTGGCACTAGCCGTTCCAGGGGGCGTGCCAGCTGTGGATATGGCCGATGTCGCCACTGCTGATGCTGCACTCTGGGATGTAGTTGCCGCCGTTTTCGGTGCCTGGATGAGAGTAGAAAAAAAATGATGAAATTATGAGCCACAAATATTTTTATAATTAATTTTGCTTCCGGATCCCGGAGACCACCTCGCCGTATTCCGGACGCAAAAGTGTCACGCAGCTACCACGACTCCGCAAACGATACTGGAACCCACAGAAAAAAAATCCAAACCGCCGGAGGACTGGACAAAAACGAGCTCGTTCAGAATGCTGCGGACAGCTACATTATATTACAAGCGGATCTCTTCGGTGCCTGGGTTTTGCTTTTTATTTTTTGTTGCTGGTTAATTTTTAAATAACATTTTAAAAAAGCTTTGAGCGTGCCATGTCATAAAAATGCACGTCATGCTCGTATAAATTCTGTGGGCGAACGGGACGTAACCCAACCCGTACAGCATCTGCTGCAGATAAGACTAAAGCTATTGAGTAGGGTATGGTATGGTACGGGGTCGGGTAATACCCTAAACATTAAGTATAAAAAAAAGTAAACAATTTCTTTAATTAAAGCATGTAAAATGTTTATAAAACAGGTTTATCAGGTTATTATTTTATTATAATATGTACTGCTAAAGATTTCTATAAAAGTAATACTCTCTTGATTCAGATAGGTAGAGTATATTCCATGGATCTAGGGCTGTTGACAACTGATAAGCAAAAGCTGTAACCATGGATGATACAGCCCCCAACCCAGAAGAGATACTGAGCCAACAGAGTACCGGAGAGAGAGATGATCCATTGCGAGTCGGCGGGGACCAGAGATAATAATACCCGATGAAGCTTTTGTTTATTATGAACTCTTAATCAGCAACAACCTGATTTCTATATATGTACATACATCCCCTCACTCGACATTGTCATTGAAATATTGTTCCCATTGATGCGAGCTTGGCGAGTTGGTAATCAAAAATTAAAGTGTGAATGGCTCGTAAATGGCACCCTCCCGAAAATCCATAACTCGATTGTCAATATCAATGCTCATCCATCTTCTGGCCATCCAATTTGGACGGAAGTGTACCAGCCAGTTGCCGGCACAGATGGCTGGAAATCAAAGTGCAAACTACATTCTCAAACAACTAATTGGATTAACTTGACACAAAAAAGCGAACGAGTTGGAGAAGGAGTTTGGAGTTCGGAGCATGGAGCTTGGAGAGGCAGCCAGAATGTCACCAGAGGAGGAAACTTTGTCTTGGAGGAGAACTCCCTGGGAACTCCTCGGAAAAACCACATGAGCTTTTTCGTCACATGTCTGGGGCGACACATGAGAGAAGAGACCGACGACTGTCACTGGTGGGCTCCTTGCCGGCTCAAACCTAAAAACTGCAAAATGTACAGAAAATTTAATTAAAAAAGGATTTTCGGCCTGGAAAGTTGCTTGGCTTCGCTGACTTGGCCTCTTTCGATTCCTCCTTACGTTTCCTATCTCGTTTCCACTTTGGTTAACGGGCTGCAAACATTTTCCCCAAAAGAAAATAATTTTTCTTCGCACTCTCTTGTCTTTTCTTGTATTTTTGCCAACGCATAAGAAAATTCAATTTATAGTTTGTGTGTGTGTCTGTGTCTGTGTGCTGAGGGGTGGTGGTGTGGGCGTGGCAAATTGCCAAAGACAGACAATGCTATTAATTAATTTAGAAAGCATTTTCCAAGCGGAAGAAGGCGGCAACAATTAAAACGGAACCGGTTAAAGTGCCCGGGGTATGATCGGGGGAAACGATGAAGAGTTGCCCCAAAAGTTTGTTCGGAGTGTCCATGTGAGTATCCTGGCCAGGATATATGTACATACGTGTGTGTGGTGGATAGCAAGGATAAATTTCCCAGCTTATGATAGTTGTTTTCCCTCTATATGATTTGTTTGCCTTTGGTCATTAAAACCATTTTCGTGTTTTCACAATTTTCCAGCTTTTATGTCGACAGTTATGTTAGTTTTTATGTTATTTTGGTTGTTTTTTGTGGCTTGTTTTTAAATAATTCATAAAATGCTTTTTGTTTTGATGCCCACAAATGATTTAAAAAGCTAAACGAGGTGCTTTCCGTGGCCAGGATGGTCGAGAGGCTTGTTCCCTGTTTACCTTTTGTTAACGATTTCAAATTGATATTTGAGGGATTATGCTGTAAAATCGAATAACGAGGCCATAAATACATTGTAATCATGTACTAGGCCATTCATTGTATGCACCTGATAGCGCCCTTAATCTTCCTGTCAAGATTGGGATTTTATTTATGTTCTTTTTTCTGTTCGGCATTTAATTAAAGTGACAACTTTACAGCGTACTTGACTATTTCATTAAACACACACTTTTTCATTTTGTTTTTATTCAATTAATGTAATTAAATTAAGTTTAAGGGCACTCTGCTGACCTTTTTTTAAATTATTTTTAATTTATTAATTCCTGAGTTGCTGAGAGAACTTTTTATCGCACGACCCATAAAGTAGAGATATCCCTTTAAGGATTCACTTTCGCTGCTTTGTTTTAAAAAGGATTCTACCCATGCTCATTTTTCATGTTTAAAGAATAATTTTGAGGGAAAAACAAAAGCTGCTCCCTGCACACTGATGACTCCACGAAAAGCGTTTTCTAATTGTCATTCTTCTGCTTGAAGTGCATTGGAAAACCCCGAAAGTAATGAGAGAAACTTGAGAAAATGTTTCCTTGTTGTTCCAGACCCTCGTAAGGACTGGAGGAGTTGGAAATGCTGTACTTGTCATTATTTATTATGTTGCTCGGGTCTTTCATTACAGAAGCATTTTTGTCTCTCATTTGTTGCCTTTGTTGCCGAATCAAAAAATTACGAGAAAACGAGCGAGAATTCCTTATCAACCTCACCGAGGACGTTGTCACATTCCTTCACTGCTTATTTACAGTTATTTGGTTGCTCATTTTCTTCTCCATTTTTCTTCTCCCCTACACACACACACACACAAAGGCTTAAGAAGGAAGCGGAAGTGGAACGCCCAAATGTCGACTATGAATAAGAGAATAATTCCCATCATTATGGGATTTCGAGGTCCGAGGTCCACCACGAGCAGCTGATTGACCGTGAATGGAATAAGGAAAACAAATTGCTTTGAACTAATATGTTATTAGATGTTTCCCGGTACTTTTATTCTTTAATTACTTCTTTTTATTTGAACCTTTCGCATTCAGCCTCATTTGAAAGGATAATTACAGATCATCGGGTCTTAAAGCGCCCACCTCTCGCCTTGACTCGGCGAGCTATTCTTGTAACCCAAAACCGCGTCTTCTTCCTCCTTAAATCGATAAGGAAATGCGGTAAACATTAATGGGCAGCATTGGACAGGACCCCGCGGGAAAGTCGCCCTAGAGTGCTTCGGCAAACAATCTTGTCGGTGGCGGTGGCGGTGGAAAAAAAAGGAAAAATAAAACAAACGAATAGTGATGAATGGAAGGTCAATTGCTGTGACCCCAGCGAAAAGCAGGGCTGACATTTAACGCAAGGCGACGCGAGCCTGTCAATGCCAATGTCCTGGATGCGGAACGAGCCAGCAAGCAAATAAGGAGGAGCCAGTGAAAAGGAGCAGCCCGAGATCCCCGACCAGGAATGTTTATGCGAATGCTTGGGCACAAAAACATACGTGACGTGCCTCAGACTGGGTCTCGGCATCTCGTTCCCTTCAGCGCACTCGGTCCCTGTCTCTTTAGATATGTGAGTAGAGCACTGAGAGAAAATTCCGGGGACAAAAATCTGAAGCTGCTGTAGTCATTTTAAAGCAGTCATAGCTTTCTTCAAGTGCATTTAAGCGGCGGAAGCGATGTATTCGCCAACTGACAGCTAAAGAAATACGAGAAGGCGAGCAGCATTCTGGCATCGGACGAAACGAAATCCCTCAGCTGGAAAAATGCCTCAACTTGGCTGACAGTTCGCCGAGTTGCGTCAACTTGTCGTCATATTTTTCAGTCAACTGAAAGTTCTCTATGACTTCCTCGATGCGAGAGCAAGGAATAGGGAATAAGGACGCCGTGGCTCAAGTGTGGGTGTGTTTGTGTAATTAGGATAATGGTTGCAGTGGCAAACCATCGGGGGGTTCGATTTCGTATTTGAAGAATGTCTTGAAATCGCTTTAAAATAGACTTGAAGTTGAGGTACTATTTTTAACAATATAAGTAAAGGATATTTGCTAACTTTAAAGGATTTCTTGCATGTTAGGAAGTTAAACTATAATGTGAAAAGCACAAAACCAAAACTACTACATTAACTTAAAAGTCTTTTAATGGGTTTAAGAAGCCCAAGCCTTTAAAAGAGTAGATAATTTTATTTAATAATATTTAAATATGGCATTTCCGCCAAATATGTCATTGTAGGCAGTTGTACATTTGGGCCTGACACATAATGCTAATACGAACACACATGTCCACAGTTTAATGCTCGCAAATATTGAGCCGTTGCACTATGGGGAATTTGCCCGATTTCATGGTATTTAGTCATTTTATAAAAGTTTAAATATTTGGGTTTTTTTTATGTAAACATATTAAAAACATATGGCTCCATATGACTCTATTCCAAAAATATTAATAAACAGTGCCTTTTTAAAGCTTTGCACTGTTAAAGTCAGCTGTTGCAGCCCAAAGGCACGTGTTTGAGAAGAGGCAGTTTTTGGTTAGCTACTTTGAAAGTGCGATACTTAAAAGTTAAACAAGTTATTAATTCAATTTATGATGGAAAACAATCATACTGGCTTGTATTATATGTTGTGTGTACTAATATTTTGCTATGTGCCTGTCTTAATAATATTTAGCCAATTTTAAAACAGGTCTAAAAGGTAATTTTTTGAAAAAAAAAAATTAACTTTACGTAGACTTACAAAAAAAACATATCGTTGCAACAGTGTAAGTTTAATATATGTCGTAGAGCCATTAATTATGAATAAAAGGCAATTTGTCTCAATGTGCAAAAATGCGCACAATCTGCGTAATTTCGTTTTTTGTCAGGTGTCTTCGAGTTTTCGAACGCGGAGCTTTTTGAAGTATGGCGTAAGGAGACGGAT